AGTATCCAACAGTGTTTACTGTTTTAACTAAAATTACACAAATTGAATTTGATCAAGCAATTGACATTAACTATTAGTCACATTATGTGATTCTAAACCCAAATTACACATGGAAAATATTGGGCCTTTGAGCATTCTCGTGCAGTGTGTGGTTTTACCTCCTCGTTGTGCTTAACCTACCTACAAGAATAATTTATTTATTACCCAAAGACCTAAATTAATATTTGTTTGAGAACAAGTTTCTGTTTCCTAAACTTCCATTATACACCAAAAACCGTATTTATCGTTTGGAGAATGTATATAATTATTATTTTTTAATTCACAAAACACATGAATGTCCATATACACACCGAAAAAATTATAAAATAATAATACAATACCTATAATAATACGGTAATATAAACCAGCGCACTCGTCCTAAATCAAGATAATGGTTTACGAAGTGGTTAAATGTAGTCCATTTTTATCCGTTTTAATTACAATTAAGAATAATGTAAATTTGTTAATGGTAATTAAGTTTCAAAATGTTCTATTTAATATCAATATTGTAAATAAAGTATATTTCGATAGTTATTTCAAAATTACAATAGTGTGTACTGTGTACGTTTTATGTGTTAATTATGTATTTTCATTTATTTTCAATTAATTTTGTTTTGTGAATATGTGTTTACTGAAAAATTGTTCACAGCATAAAATAATAAAAAACTATTAAATGAATCTAGATCTGGTTTGAATGTAGTTCCCATTTAGATATATTTGGATTCGCAATCATATAGTCAAAAGTCTCCATACAAGATTCTAATTCATCGATTTGGTTAGACTAAGTCAAAAGTTAGAACTTGAGTAGTATATGAAAAGATTTTCACCACGACTTATAGGATTCCTGTTCAACTACTTCTGATAGTGAACGGTAAGCAATTCTATGAACTACCTAAGTTTAGCGTAATTTTGGTACATAATATAATATAATTATTCATTAATCATTAGTCATTTTGTGGTTACGGCCAAAATGCTTCTATAGGAATCAGAGTCTTAATCACACATCTATGCAAATAGATTTATTTCTTATAATATAACCCTTCCTAGAGCACTTCCGAATAAGTCTTTCATCTTTGTGTTTTTTTGTACTGACAAAGTATTTTTTAACTTAAGATATTTTGACTCGATGGTTGAATTTTCAGTCTTATTTTCTTCGATTTATTTGAAATTACTTTAATGATTTAATAAAATTGAATAACATAGGCATGTAGGTATTTTTTATCATAACTATAGTCTATTATAATATAATAAGTACACTAATGTTTATAATATCTAATGGATGTATCAAGTGATTTAGGTTAAAAAAAAAAAAATGATTTACAACACTATTCCTTAATCGATTACACATTATGTTGAGCTTATATCTACTTAAAAGATTTACGAAGTGAATATAAATATTATAGATTTCTTCCTGGAGAGGGGTAAATGCATTAAGGGCCCACCAGGGATTGGGATGCTCTCTGGCCGATGGTTCTACACGCGCTGCACTGTTTATAAAATAGATAGTAAATACAATGTAGTCAATCTAAAAACACAAGAGCAATTTATATGCTTCTTTAATAATGATTAAAAAAAAACACACACACCGTACACTTTCGTGTAAAAATCTGTATACTTTTTGAAAAAAAAAACCTCGGATTACATTCGCCTTACCTATTCGTTCGTGACAAATATTTTATACGTTAGTTCTAGTTGTGATTTTGAAACAAAGAGAGAGTGGGAATTCCTTCATAAAAGTATGGTCTGATGTACGCACGGAAAATGCGCCAGTGGCATTTGGTACGAACAAAAGTTCCGTTGGCCCTGTAAGTTGTAAGGCAGATTTTTTAATATGTAGAAAACACATTGTTCGTGGGAAACAATGACCATTATAATAAATAAATATTGAATACTACTAGTAGGTACCTACGCATATTCACATATTCTTATCATTCAGTATTTTAGTAATAAATAACAAAATACAATCACTTTACTTTCATAATATGATTATCGGTATTAAAATAATAAATAAATTTGGAAATCACGTTTTTTCCAAATAAAATTATCAAAGTGTACAACAAATTTAATAATTTCTATTTTTTCTCTGAACGTGGTTGGAGGAACTCTTTTCACTGGTAGTTTGTACAGTGGTGTTGTTCCAGAAACAAATTTAAAAGATACGTATAATTGATCAGTTGTATAATTTGTTATAAATTTATAATGTAATAACTAATAATGTTATGCCAATTGTTATTCCATTAGGTACGCAATTTATGATAATATATTTATTTTATCTTTTGAGCAGTTAGTGAAAACTTACAAAATATTCTAAGGCAATCAATTATTGTGATTTAAAATAATTAAAAACGGATTATTTATTTTCAAATAAATAAATATCAGTAGTTGTCTGTTATTATATTTTATTAAAACCTAGCATAAATATTTAGTATATTAACTAATGTTAAAATATACACAAATATTATAAGTATTTGTGATTCGTATTCTGTAGTTAGATAGGTACTACCTACCTATATACGTTTTATAATTGCAGTAATATTTTAGCAAAAGGGTCATAATATATACAAAAAAGTTGGTTACAAGTTCATTACAATTGTGTTATCTGCTTAAATTTGGTTTATACTACTTGCGTCCGAAATTATAATCAGCAGATAAGTTACGTTCGAATAAAAAAAGGTCCAGAAATGGTCATAAGTTATTTGCATCCCGGAGTGCGTTTGTTTTAACCTAGTTGTGCCCCCAACTATTGATATTATAATTAATTGGTTTATGATAATATATTATACATAAAATATTAAGAATAGGTACCAAAATCGTACTGCTTAAATTAAACTAACAGAATGATATTAAACATGATTTGTATTTCTTATTATTATAATTTTTACAAAAATACCTACACAATCATACCTATATATACCTACATACTTAATAAAATGTGTTAAGAAAAATACATACGTCACTTCTTAGTTAATATTAAGAGTAGCAACATAATAATATTACCTACTTATACAGGCTAAAATTTTAAATGTATTTTTCATTGACTCAGATCAAAACATAATTTTATTATAATATTATTTCAATAAATAATAATTATAATTTAATTGTAACTCTGTTACGATTTCTTTACACGTATTGTCATGAAATTAATTAAGGGGATTGGAAGCGACGATTTTCTGTCTTTATCTAACACACGTGCAACATAGGATTATAGACGTGTTCTATGTCCAACGTACCGATTAATCTAATGAAGCGATAAGAATTCTGAAAACAGATTTGAATTTGTCGTCAAGTCTACTTGAGATCGACTTTCCCACATTTTTGATTTTTTGATTTAAACTTCTCCAAAAGTTGAAATTTGTAAATTTTTTAAGTACTTTTTATAATATATCATTTTTATGATTTTGGTGGGACAATATCAAAAATGTGGGAAAGTCGATCTCAAGTAGACTTGACGACAAATTCAAATCTGTTTTCAGAATTCTTATCGCTTCATTAGATTAATCGGTACGTTGGACATAGAACACGTCTATAATCCTATGTTCCACGTGTGTTAGATAAAGACAGAAAATCGCCGCTTCCAATCCCCTTAAACCATGATAATCAAAAATAAAATATATTATGTTATGTGACGAGTTTGTTTTATGAAAATATAGTTGTAATTAATTGAAGGGGGTTAGTGGATGGAGGTGTTAACTCACAATTTTTAAATTATTCAGGTGGACAGTTTTTAGTGGTTTAATTATATAAACGTTTGGAACTTTTTAACTGTTCAAATGCTAAGAAATTTTTGAAAACAAAAATGATGTATTTTAAAGTCATAAACTCATAAACAATACTCTGAAATTTTATAAATTTAATAATAAATTTTATCTGTCAATAAAATAATAGGGGTGTAATACAATAACACCTTAATCCACAAAACAAGAACGACAGATTGTCTAAATAACACCTTTATCAATTTGATATCTCAATAAATAAATGTTATTTTGTTCTGATATTTGTATAGCCTATGTAATACGTCATGCATGATGCATCATTTTTGTATAATTAATAACGATTTTACAAAAAATGTCAGTTAACACCTTCATCCACTAACCCCTTCAATTACAATAAATTATTCCTATTCTTTTGTGTATTTTTTTTTTTTGTCTCTGGTGGAGCTATAATATAGCGACACCAGTATTGCGCACCAACCCTGCTGAAATGTACAGCCCATCGTCATGATATAACGGTTTAACCAACAGCATGCAAATTTTGGCCAAGCTAATTACACGTTGATTGCTGACATAAACAAAAATATATATATATATTTTCCAAACGAGCGGGACAAATGGCGTGTGTACGGACAGTAAGTTTTTTTCCCCCGCGATGCGGACGAGATATTATGATATTATAACCGAAATTAACATTGCACCATATATTTATTTCGAATGAATTTCGGATTCCAGCGATTCGGTACCCTTTTCCATATTTTCCAAGTATTATGTTGTGTCCACCGAGTCCTCTCCAAAAACGCCGTTAACACTGCACAGTACTGCAGCTAACACGCGTCACCGCCACACCCGGGTAGATAGTGACTTATTTTTTTTTTATCCGCGTGTCGAATCTGTCTGAAATCCGCCTTCGACAATCGGAGCCGTCGAATTCGAAAGTTATATACGAGATAAATAGTATCGTTATGGCATATAATATATTATATACTCGAAAACGTGCTATAATATTGTTGTCGCGTTATTATCGATAAATATTATTTATTATTATTATTATTTTTTTTTTTTTTACCGTCGTTGAAATAAAATACATTTTGGTTACACCATTTTGGTTCATTTATTTTATAACGACATCATGTTATTTTTTTGTGACAACACAGCTCTTTCTCGTTCACCTTCGTTCCGGTATATATAAAACTCTTCGGTAGGTACGTACAGTATTAATAATGAGATTTCGTCTCGCGATTTAGACGGTCAGTGTCGTGGAGTGCTCTTACCGGATTTCCGGTGTCGTAGTTTGCCACTAGTCGCCTCGAACAAACAACTCAGCGCAGCGTTCACGCCGTCCACCATCTCCGTGCTCGGTACCGGACACCGAGTGCCGTCGGGTCGTTTGAGTATCCAATCCGCGTAGGGAAGGCTTTTGACGCAAACGCATTCTTCGTCGGTCTCTCCGGACACGTCCGAGTCGCAGCCGATCGAAACCCGATTGTTGTCCGGTCGCGATGACGTCATGTCGATGACTTCTTAACAATAATATTATACGCTCGTGATATACCGCGGTATAGTGTAAAACCAAGTATGTCCGAAATGAGTTTACAAACTCGTGTCTTGATGTAATATTATAATATTATAGTTATTAAATTTTAGTAGTTTTACTTAGGCATTTACCCACAACTCACTAACGACTGTACGGCGTCAATCAACAGTAAGTTGTCGTATCGCAGGTAACATTCGATGTTATTTTGAGGTTTACAGGAAATCATCGTTATGATATAGGTACACATTATTAGGTGTATAATATTGAACGTTTAAATAAATATCAAGAACGGACCCAAACGACATACCTCGCTTTACCAATCTATTATAATATTATATTAAAATAAATTATATAGGTAGGTACCATGTGACGTTCTTCACTACTGTTGTTTAGTATGATAATATTATTATAATATCTATGTGTATGTAATACTCGAGAAAGAATAATGTACGATTTGATATTGTTATTTTGGGAGTTATGACGTTATTTTATAATATCATTAGAAATAATAAAATTAGTGTTGCCAACCTGGTAAATTGAAGGAAAAGCGCAGTGTAAAAGAGCATTTTGACTTCCTCAAGTTTCTATGTCGCTTACTAGTATGTAGGTAAAATATTATATACTAGACTGAACTTAAATACAAACAATAATTACACTGGCTAATCGAATTTAATATGACGTTCAAATTGACTTTAATAAGAAGTAAACAGTAAACACATCAACTATACAAATCGATGTGCATAATAATACAATATTTAGATTAACAGCTGTTGTTGTATATTGGTAGTAGAAGATTTATATCATTAATCCGTCGGTTGGTACCTCTGTTATAGCATGGAATCTATGCCGAAAAATACCATAATATAATATTTCTCGGTAAAAAGTTGATGAAAAATTCTGTGGTGTACCCGTACAGTGGTGGTGAGGTGTGTACTTGTTTTTACATAGTGATGTCTGCGTTTTTTCTCTACTGAAAACACTCGTTTTCGCTGAAGTGAAGAGTGTCATGCGAAGCACTACTGCAGATTGAAAAATGAATAGGTACTGCACTTTGTACTCTACAGTGCATAGGTAGAAGAGGTATAGTTCTCGAAAAAATCTCAAAACACTAAAACATAGGTAGGTATTTTTTAAATGTTACAATCGTAATATTATAGTCCTGAGAAAATCGTATCGTACGGATCGTATGAAACGGATTTTAGAATTATTAGTATAGTATGATATACATATGCGTCCACTGGCCGGCAGCGGACGGATCGCACGTATCGGTCCGTCGGTAATGCCGACGAAATTGATCGAAGGGGCAACTTTTCCGACTGGTGCGGATGACGTCATACGAATCAGTAAACAGTGTAAGATATTCTCCAAATTGTGACCTTTTTTTGAATATGTCATGTATCCACATTCTATGTTTTCTCTTATTTCCTCTACTTTCTTCTTCATCTTCTTCATCTAATAACAAAGTAATAATGACAAGTTCTTCATCACTTTCCATATTGTCTATTAGGTACACACACTGTAATACTGGATTGTGTAATGTTTCTGATCGTTCACTCGCAACGAAAATGCGAATTGTTAATTAAAAAAATCCGACCGTCGCATCGGCAATCCGATCGCTACGGATACAGTGGACGCACTACCACAAAATGATCCGTTTCATACGATTCGTCCGATACGTACGATGTGTGCCTATGGACGCGTACCTTTAGGGAACTCAGATTTGTCCATTACTTTTTTCGTCATAGGCTTAAGGTTACACTGCATAAATCACATAATAAAAAATATCGATGATCATTTAGCGAGGAAAAAAACTTGTAAATTATAATTTATAAATAAAGTGATACATATTACTCATTACTTATTGCTATGTATCTAATACCTATATATATTTATTATAACAGGTACCTAATATTATATATTTTTTTTCATACAGGGGCCTCATTCAAAACTTTGGCCCCTGGACCCCAAAATGTCTTAATCCGGGCTTGAGTAGAACCGAACGTCATTCGTGATCGTTTAACTGGCGCTATACGTTATGACTGCCATGTTCATGTTTTAAGAAAAAATTACATACACTGCTAACGTCCTGCAAAAAGTGATCAAAACGAGACGACGAGTTCTCTCGTTGTATTTCACTTTATTTTAGGTAGGTACATTAAATCTTACTTATTTACGTCGGTATATATTTTTCCGTTTTCCCTTGTCCTTTATTGTAATATCGGTGTAATACGATTCCACGTAGTTGCATTGTAAATATAAAAATGTAACCGTACAGATTTGATGTAGATACGTATATATAAATACTGGACATAAAACATTGAATACAAAAAATAAAATTTAAATCGCTAATGGTTTGTGTCGGTATCCATGGCAACGTCGATGAACAGGCACAACGGAAATATAAGGTATATGCCATATACACGATCATATGCACGAGTAACGCACCTTATGAACACATAAAAAATTGCTCATTTTTCGCTTGTCGAGTAGGCAGGATTGATGTCGACCAGACATAGGTACAGCTAGGGGACGTTAAGGTAAGTTAAGGTACTATGCAACTAGATTCAGAAAAGGCATTAGATTTACTTATAGTCCACCTCTAAAGGCCATAGTGTCCGTTTTATTGTTTTTATTTGACAATAATGGTAAACCAAAACATTTCTGACCAGATTCGATTCGGTTTATGTTGTTTTTGAAACATGATACATGAGTACATAGGTCAAAGCAATACAGAAAGATATATTTTTAAAACTTATTTACGAGTTGTACATAATGATAATGTAGACCAAAAATTGAATATTATTATTTGAATATTGTATATTAATTTCCATACCCAAAATCGTTAAATACGTAATAAAATAAGTAGGTACCTAATAACTTATTTTTGTTTTGATGTTAGTGTTATTGTGATTTAAAAATAGCTGTAAGAAAAATGTAGTTTTTCAAAACTGTTGAACATAATTTATGATTCAGTACTACAATGTATACATAGGTATGATATTCAAAAAGTGAATTTTCACGTAAAACCAGTTTTTGAAAAAATCGATTTTCTTATTTTGTGGTATTTCTAACACACGAATATACTATAGTCTGTTACCATTGGCGCAACTAGGGGAGTGCTTTGGGTCCTTAGCACCACTTAAGTCAAAATTTACACCCCCCTAAAAAATCGTTAGGTGTTAGGTCTCATTGAATCACAAAAAAACCTGGAGCTTAAGCACCCCCTTGTTCAATAAAAATAATAACAGTAAATACTTCAAATGTTTATATAATTAGTTTCTGTATACATAGTATATTGTATATAATTAAAATATTAAAATATATTGAATCTTTTTGAGCTATTTTTAGGCATGTAAAAATTTCATTTTTTTTTTTATTTGTTTTAAAAGTCGTCTTGAAAATTGTATACAAAGTTCCGCATAAGTTGTTATTATTACTGGAAACTAAAATAAAAGTTGATCGTTATTACACGAATATTTTTATATGAGTGAAGTTTAAATTTTGATGAAATTGAATATTCACGCGTAAAATAACGATTTCTCAACAAAAGATTTTCTTCTTTTGTTATAACTTATAATTCAAAAATGAAAAACTGTAGATATTTGAAATTGTTCATAGGTATACACTATACATATTATAATTTTTAAAATATTTTGAAACAATTTACAGACATTGAGGCATTTGATATCTTCGTTTTTTTTTCTTTAAATGTCAAAAATATTTTTGTTCGGTCAAAACGCTTGAAAATGTTTTACAAGGTTCTTCTTGCATTGTTGTTATGAACATTTAAAAAGATTATAAAGATACATGGGCGACATTTTACAAATTTTACGGAATTTGTTACGAATATCGCGAACATTTGTTAAGTATTTTCCAGTTAAATATTTATAAAATGTTCAATATTTACTGAGAAGGCTTGACAGTTTAATACAACGTATTCCATAAGTAGTTCTTACCAAAAAATCTATTAAAATGGTTTAACGCAATTTTTTTTTAGACATTTTAAGTTCAAATTTTGACAAAATTATAGATATTCTCATATTAAAATAAAGAATAACGATTTTATTACAACTACCGTATTACTATTAGTAAAATAAATTACTATATATTGCAATCTAAATATATCAATATCAAAATATATAAAAATGTAGGCTTTTTACCAATTTTAGCTCAAAATATCGATTTTGTATACAATGATTTATCATTGAGTTATAATTTTACACATACATTACAATGACAGTGATTCACTGAGTGACGAGGTATCCACTCGAAACCTATACTGTACAGCTGAGCAATTTTTCTTCTTCTTCTCCTTCGTATATGCCTTCACAACTCTGCAAGTGTTTTGGCTGCAAACGTTATAGATCTCTAATAATCGCGATCCTGTATCCTTACCTTCCAATCTGTTACTTCTATATAGTCTCTAGATCTTGTTGTACTCCACCCATCCATCCATCGTTTCTAGGGTCTGTGGTCTGTCTCTGGGTCTTCTATCTGTTGGGTTGTATTCAATTGCCGCTCTTCATTTATTTCCTCTCGCCTCATTGTTTGTCCAAACCATTAAATTCTTTGGCCCTTCTCATAACTTGTTACGAAAGGTACTTTGGTGATTTCCCTTATTTCTTTGTTTCTTCTTCTACACAATATGTTTATTGGTACATTGGTCCACATATTGTTCCTAGTACTCTATATTCTCAATTGGTCTGAGTTTTCGTTCAATTTACACTGTCATCGGCCATACTTCACATACACCATACACCCATCATAAGTTAACATTGGCCTTACGATATACTCATGTACAGGCGTACTTTTGTTCCTCTAGAGAATAGTTTTGAGTTGAAATATTTTATTAGTGCAAAAAAGGCCCTTTCCGCTTTGAGCAAGCGACTGGTTATGTCGGTGTTCCAGTCGTTGTTACCAGTGATTGTTACTCCTAAAATACTTGAAGCTCTGGGCTTTCTCGAAAACGTAGTTATCTACTGCAAGGTCTTTTTCACCTCTTACAGGCAACGTTTCTATTACTTTCGTTTTCTCATAATTTATTCCCAGGCCAATATTTTGCTACAGCTGAGCAATTACTTTATACAAATTAAAATAGCTAGGTATAGAAAATATGAAAATTAAATGTCAAAATAAATAAAATTATTCATTAAAAGTATTATATTATCTTACACAGTCATAACTCATAACAATATATTCTTTATTTAGAATTAAAATGAATTAATATGCTAATTATTAAAAATCAATAAAACTTTTGGATACTTATAAATTTGCAAGTCATAATACCTAATTACATCCTATAAAATAATAAAATATAAAAACATACCTACTTATGATAGGTTATAAATTTGCTAAAAAATTAAAAACTAAATTACCTAGTTTAAGTATCAATATGAAACTAATATTGACGACATTAGTTATGAATTTAAGTTTCGACCAAAAAGTAATAATGTCTGATCACAAGAAGAAACATAATATAAGTAGCTTAAAATGTTTCGTTTATAAGACCGTAGAGCCACAAGTTAAGAATCAGGAATGAAACTATTATTAATGTAATATGGATAAAATGCATGGAGTAACATAGGTCATCATCATATATGAATATATATATAGATGCTCAGTGGTATAATTTATTGATTGAAGGTGATACTGAAATACTGAATAATGAATATCGTTTTCAGAAGTAGTTAGAATAATATACGATAATATTATAATATAGTATTATTAAATATTTTTGAGTCCGCGATTCGGATTTTCAACGTCCGTTTGTATTTTACAAGACAAAAAAATAACTGGGTAAATATAATGTGTTATTAATTCTATGATTTTTGTAGACGAACACAATTTAATATTAAACAAATAATTTAAACTAAATAGGGATAAGGAATGAGGATTGAGGAAATATATTGTAATATTGTATACGTTAGCTATTGCTCCCCTCTGTCACCCTTTTCTGCGCCATTGGTTATCGTCGTTAGCATCCCATCAACACTAAAAATATAATAATATTGTCGATCGAATAAAAATTTAATTTACAATAAATCAATTATTGTTGTGTTCAGATAAGATATTGTGCCGGGTTTTAAGGAATTAATTCTTGTTGCATTTACAAAATAATATTATAGCTGGGAATTGGGATATTATTTTACGTTATAGAGTTGTACACTTGTACCTACCTATTCATTCGAACGAATGACTATTCCGACTGTTCGTGACGAATCATACAAGCACCCGTCGGATACAACCGTTTAGCAGCGCCAATTAGTAAATTCGTGGGACACTCGAATCGTATTTATCGTGCAGTATGCCAACACCGCGATTCGCGAACAACTTAAATTTCGCTTTTGTGTTGTTTTTTTTTTTTTATATCAGCGTCAGTTCAGTGGTTTTCGAATACAACACGGGTCGGTGATGATGATAATGCCGAATGATGACGATGATAATAATAATAATACTAATACAACAAAGACACGCTGGAGCGTTAAGAAGGTATTG